GGGGGGGGGGGGTTAATCAAAAGCGTACGTACTTTTCAAAGGGGGGAGAGGACTAAAAAGTACGCATGGCAACTGGGGGGAGGGAATGGGTCAATTTTTTGAAATTTTTGGCGTACGTACTTTATGGATGACCCCTTACAATAAGTTTGTTGCAGATGGATGCAAAAATAATCACATGAAGGAATTTAAAAACTGTATTCCTCCTCGAATTGTAAATCTCAATGAACCTTTAAAAACTTTATTGGAACATCTTATCCCTCCTCCAGAGTTACACATTTTCATTGGTATTACTTCTATGTTTGTAAAAGTATTAATTACTTTGTGGCCTGATTTTGACACATGGCTTAAATCAAACTATATTATGTTTAGAGGTTACCACGGAATAGGTTTGGACGGTAACAATTCACAGAGACTTTTAGATAAATTAGATGATCTTGAAGTTAATCTTCTAAGTGCAGCCTCTATGCAGCCAAATATAATATTTCTACAACCTGTAGTTAATTGTCCTAGAAAGTTTTCAATTATTAAAAAAAAAAGATTTCAGCTCAGTAATTGGAGAATCTATTGCTGAATCAGTTTTAGATTTTAAAAACGTTTTTGAAAAACTGCAGCTTCATCTTTGGAAAAGTTTAACTGTGAATTAAATATTAGCTGGAAAGTTCACTTTTTACTTGTTTTTTGTCACACAGTTTTATAATATTTTTAAATTCATCAATAGCTTTTTAGCTTTATTTAATAATTTTTCAGTATTATATTACAGTAATTACATTACAAGTTGTAATTACATTACAACTTGTTATTACAAGTTGTAATTACATTACACTTGCAATTACAAGTTGTAATTACATTACAAGTTATGATTACAACCCAAAAAATTTGGGATATTTTAGTTCACAGGCTTAAGTTTCCACAATATTATACATATTGAACTATTATTTATAAACAAATAATAGAACATAGAGATGAATAAAAGGTTAAAAAAGAAAAAAATATTTTATTATTTTAAGGAAAGACGTGCAAAACACGGGACAATAGCCTTTCTAAGTTTACATATTTTGATGATGCTGATGAAATAAAAAACAAATTATGTTTATTTAATTATTTTTTTACTCAAAAGTTAACTAAATTGTTTCAAATAGTTTTTACTATAGATTTTATAAAGTAACACTATGTTTTTGTTATTAATAAGACCATGAAGTAGTTAGGGAGGAGGGAGGGGGGGGGGGGGGTAAAGCTTTGATTTTTTTCAATTTTTATTTTTTGTTACATCCTGACCATTTATGAAGAAAAAGGGAGGTGGAATTTTCAGATTTGATTATTTTTGAGTAGACAAGTCTATTAAGTGCTGTGTTGAATATATAAATTTACATAAAAAAAATATTTTCAAATGTATAAGCGGGGTGGAGGGGCGATCCATAGAGAATCGATGCGACTCATAGAGGAAGGGGGAGAGATCGCCCCCTCCTCTATGACACATCACTAATTAGATTTAAAATTTATTTTGTGTGCTTGTCCAATGAATAATAGATTTAACTATTATTCATTGGACAAGCAATTATAAATTAAGTATAAATTATACCGTCTATAAAGGATTGCATGAATAGTGAAATTACAATTTATCCCTGTATTGCTTATAATTTTTTGATTAGAATAATTAATCATAACTTCTTAAATATTGATTTTCAAACCATAATTTTTGTACGAATATGAATCAGCATTGATTTATCTTTCCAACGATATATAAAAAAATTTATTTAAAATTTTTTTCTTCTACTTATACAAATATAACCCTTTAATATAGGCCCAAAAGTACACCTTTCAGAGCTACAATTGTTGAGGATTTTTTTTTGGAGAATTATCACACATTTATGTTCGCTTGAAAAAGGTTTTACCTTTATATTATTTTATTTCTGTTCGAAATTCTATTGTACTGTATCTTACCGCGCGGCATTAAAGATTCGGTTTTATTTGAAGACAGAAGTTATAAATGGGCGTGATATGACGCATTTGACATTTTATAGAATGTCGAAGGCACTTTAATTACAAAAAAAGACAATTAAATTATCAAATAAAATTTTAACTATAGCGCTAAGTCTTGGTAAAAATATATACATTCAATATACTTGATTCTATTAACCCCCTATTTTTTTTTGCGATTTTTTTTTCAACTTCTTACCCGTCTTGGCACTATACAAAACCTTTTTTTTCTGAATAAAATGCTATGCCTCGTATATAAAAATGTTGTCTGTCACTATAAAAAAAAAAAATTCTGGAATTTCATATTATTCATTTAATTCCATAGAAAAAATCTGTAAGTCTATGAAAAAAGTGGTCTTAATGCCCTCCTTTGCCATATATCTTGAGATATAGGGCGAAGGAGGGCTTATATTTTCTTTTAAAAATTGACATTTTTGATTTTCAAAAAGTTTTAAAACCTAAAATAATGAATTAACTTTAAAATCTCTAACTAAATATGGACCTAACACACTAAGGATCATTTGCGGAATTTTTTTATAAATGAAGTAAAAAATAAGTATGACTTTATTTCTGATGTTTCTTTGTAACTTTTTAACTAATTTTAAGTAAACTGGCATCAAATAATGAAAACATATTTTAAAAAATATGTTTTGATTATTTGATTAAATAACAAACAAACTATTTTTAAGACTCAACTTAAATATTAAATGTAAATGTTATACAATTTTTATTTATTTGTTTTTTAACATTAAAATTAATTTTTTTTAATTTTGTATTTGATAAAATATACTTCATAAAAATATTATTTATTAGGTATTATAAGGTAAAAATATATAAAACAGTATGAAAAAATGTTTACAAATATCTTAACTTGCATCGTGTGATTGGGTGTACATCAGTGTTGTCCTTGTTTAATCGAGAAATGAAATAACTTTATGTTTATTCTACATTATTGTGTTATTAGAATATTTAAACACACAAAATACTACTTTTTATTTTATTTGGCTAAGGTAAGCAGGCTTTGAGAGAAAAAAATAGCTTGAAAATTTTTGAAGTTCCAAGTTTTATCTTTTTATTATTAGGTTTTCGTAATATTTTATTTTAGTTATTATTTTTACTTTTATATTTTTGTTTTGTTTTCTGTTTTACGTCGTATTTATGAGTTTTTTCGGATTTTATTCTGCTTTTTTTTTTGTATATTTGTATTGTAACTTCATTAAATATTTTTATGAAGGATAAATATTTTACTTAGTTACATATTGTTAACTTATTATTAAATTGATAAACAAATTTATTATTGATTACAACAGTTTTATTATTGAAAGACCTCCAGTAATGTAAAAACTGGTATTACTGTGAATAAAATGTATAAACAGCTACAAAAAAGTATTTTAGGAATTGTAAATAGTATATTCAAAAAGCTATTTGTTACATTATATAAGTAATAAACTGAAGTGTTCACAAGTTTTCAATTTTTACAGATTTAAATGTTTTATTTTATTAATTTTTCATCCAAATGTTGGTATATATCTTAAAAAACTGTGTTTTGCTCATTTATAGTCATTAATATGCATTTATATGTTTCATATTCAAAAACCAAAGCAATTTGTAGTTTGTTTTTCAAAGTTGACAAACATCTGATATAAGGTATCAGATTATTCAAAACCTTGATGTTTGTGTTAAGGTTATCTAAGTAAAGCCATGATCCAAGCAGGGGTGGGGAGTATTAAAGGGAATCAGGATATGTGTCACAAAAAGATTACTTCAAATATTGTGAATTTCAAAATAGGTATCAGAGATCTAATGACTTGCAAGGTTGCTCAGTTTAATGGCTTTTTATTAAAAAAATTGTGCTGGCAAACATCAAAAAGAATGTACAAGAAACAAATTTTTTGGTTTAACTTTATTTCTGAAAGTCTTTTTGCGTTTTGATAATATCTCAGTTTTTTTTAGACATGTATTTTATTCATATTATTTCAAGATATTTTCATATAACCTTCATAAAAAAGATAAGATATTCAAAATATGAAAATAATTTATTTCTATTAGTTTTTGTAAATATTACCTGTAAAAAAATATCAATAATATGGCATCTTTCCTAATGTTATGCTTTTTTTTTTTTAAATAAATTAAGGTGTAGATGTGTAAGGTGTAGATATAGTAGTTCTATTGGTTGAGGTTCAGTTATATTGGTATTAAGAATAATATTATTCACAATATATTGGTTTTCAATATATATATATATATATATATATATATATATATATATATATATATATATATATATATATATATATATATATATATATATATATATATATATATATATATCAATATTTCAAAATATTAATCACAACTATATTGGTTTAAGAATAAATTATTCTTTTAGTTTAAGATTAAGTTAAGGTTAACACAATACATTTTTTAATCCACAATACATCTAAAGCTTGGCTGTTCAAAAAGCGATGTAAATTACAGTGTGTGTAGAATTATAAAATATAATTTACAAATTTAATGAAAATAGAACATGTATGATAATTTGATAGGAGTAGTAATTTTTTATTTCTGTTCTTTAGGTGTTGGCAGACTGTAATTGACGACTTACTTTCTTGCAACTAAATCATAAGAACCTTCAACTAGAAACCAATTAAAATAGTTTTTATAGCAGCATTTTTTTAGAAGAATTTTCATTCATTTATTTACTAAACAGATTACTTGTATTTCATAATTTCTTTAAATTATTTTTTGGAGATTTTTGGATTTAAATTTTGGTGTTTTACAAAACTTTAAGTTTCAAAATATTTTTTACATATAGATTTTTAGTTTTTTAATAATTTATTTTTATTCAGAAGTACAATTAAAATTGTAATGTCCGATTTTTGTTACATTTTTTCTGCAAATATCAATTTGATATTATGTTATCAGTGTGCAAGTATAATCTCAAGATATAATTTAAAAAATGGTAGGATAAGTACGTAAACATGCGCATTGTTTTCTTATAAATAAAATTCAAGTTTAGCGCAAAATCTCCTTACCGATACAAACTACTCACAAAAACTTTCTATATTTATTGGTCTTTTAAACTTTTACTGTTATTTTTACATGGTTTCTACTTACTATGACAGTAAGTGTGAAAACACGAGCAAACTGGCAGTCGGGAGACTTTTGAACAAAAATTAACGCCGTGTAACCTATAAAAATATTTGGTGCATTTTGGATATGTTCTTCAAGTATTTTCTAGCAATTACTAAATTTATTTTCAGATTGTAAAAACCAGTTCGCGTGACGCTTTGAAAAAACTAATGGAATGTTTAAGACAAAGGTACTCCTATCATGACCCAGAGGCAACAGACTGTTCTACGATAGTAATATTCTGCCGCAGTAGTACTCTCATATCGTCACCATAATCGCATGACAAAATTCTGCTTTAAAGTTTATCGTTATCGTTTTCTTTAGTGCTTTTATCCACATTTACACTGATTTTATAAATTAAAAATAAATATTTGAATAATATAATAAATTATAGCATATATATTTACAAAGTATAGATAAAAGTATTTATTGATAATATTATTTAGGGCATACCATGCAGTGTGTCATACCATGCCATATCTTGCATATAACTAATAAACACTAGGTAAACAAAAACACACGTAAAAATCACAAGCTAACTCAATACAATGGATAAATCGATATACGTGTTATAATAATAGCCATATTGTAGTAGAAGCCCAGGGCAGGACAACTAATTATTCACATAGTTTGTTGTTAAAATAAAATAAAATAAACAAAACACATATAATAAAAAATAAAAATTAATACTAGAGAACTGAAGCCTCGATACGACGTCATGAATAACGGTGTTTCAACTTCTTTAGTTGACATCATCTAGTTTTAAAGTTTCTTCAGTTTTCCTTTTTAAAAAGCATCCTGCAGGGAGTCTAAAACAATGTTATTTTATGGTAAATAATTTATGTTAATAATTATGCATGACATAAATAGACTTGTAAACAACAATAATATAATATGAATACTGTTACCATTTAAAATTTAAAGTCTTGACTCAAGTTAACCTGACATCAAACCATTAAATCAGTTGGTAAGGGTTTAATATCTTTGATATAATTTAATAAATGCAAAAATAATCAATATCACTAACATTTTGATTGTAACTCATTTTATCTTATATTATTACTTAAAAATAATTAATTGTTACAACTTAAACATATTGAAAAAAATTAAAAACAATTGTAATTTTGACCACTATAAACTTTGTATTAAAATTATTTTCACAATAAAAATTTACAATTATAAACAAGTGTAGAGTACTTATATTATTATATATAATAGTTATATTCATAATATGTCTAACATAACGTATTTCAATTATCTTGGACTAGAATTTATTGTTTAATTTCATGTTGTCATAGAGCTACATTTTGTGATTATATATTAAACTTATTTCACAGTAGGTTCTAAAAAATATAACACTCTAACAAATTGGTTTAAAAAATCATTATGCATAGATAACTTTTAAACTTTACTACATTTTGACAATGGCAGCATGTATTGATGACAATAAATGCTGTCATTAAACTATTAAAAAATTGACTATTGAAATCATATAGCATAAATAACATACACACTTTACTATATATAAATATTATTAATAGTACATATTATTCTACTAATAAAAACAAACTACCATTGAGGTACCAAATGAAGTTTATGTGAAAAATCATTCAAGTGTATATTTATTCCAAATAATGTCACACAACTGTATATGTAGTTTTAAAAATATTTTTTATCATATATATTCATAAACTTTTAATGAAATTAATGTAAAACACACTATTCTTTGATCTAAAAATATGTGCTATCATAATAACATTCACATTTCCTAGAAATTCACAGTCCATTTGCTATATATATTTTTAATATACAAAAATTATTTTATCAAGGTTGCCTCTTTAATTTTTAAACTTTTTTCCCTGAGTAAAGAACGTTTTTCCCTGAGTTGAACTCTTTAAGTTCCCTGAGTTTTCCCTGACTTTTCTATATCATTTTTTGTTCATCAACGAGATTATTATTTTCCTTAATTAAACACAATCTTTATACTTGACAATCTAAAACTTTTACAACAACACCTACAACTAGCAAACTTATTATTATATGTATTAGCAAAATACTTGTAAAAAAAATTATTGTACAAAATTAAAAAAAAAAAAAAATTATTTTCACTGAGTTTTCCCTGAATTTTATGAAATTTTTTAGAAAATCTCTGAGTTTTACAGGTTTTCCCTGGAATTCATGCTATTTCCTGGTATTCCAGGTTGAGTGGAAACCCTGTTTATTTATTTTATCAAACTCTGTAAACTGATAGTTTGAGATATAAAAACTCGGGGAAAGTAAAATTTTTCTGAACTTTCTGAAACAAAAATATTCAAAATATATTGTTGTCAGATTAAGTGTTAACTTACTAGATTTAGATGAACCATTTCATAGGAGATTATATAACTAACGTGTAAAAAACTAACATTTGTTGAAGTAATGTATTTTCTGTTGTTAATCATAAATCAATACAAACCAACTCTAAAAAACAAAACATAAATACTATTGAAACTCTTTAATATATTTAATAAAGTTTTATTCAAATTTAAAATTGAATTAAGTTGTATACCAAAATAACATAGATAAAAAATTTATTACCAAAAAAATTTGATATCTTTTTTATAACTTTATAAATAAACATATTATATATGACTATATGATATCATATAATAACACAATAAAATGGACCTACTATAGCAAGTGAAAAATACAAAACACTCATGATTATTGAAAGATTCAGTTTTTGCAATATTTAGTACCAAAACTACATTTTAATTCTTATATTGCACTTGAGTAGCAATTTATGATTGTATATTTAATTTATTTCAGAACATATTCTAAAAAAATTATATAACATCCTGTGATAATTAAAAAACACCTTAAAACTTTGAAACTTAACATTTTCCTTTTTTAGACTAGCGAAACTGTTCCTTAAACAAATTTTTGAATATTGCTATCAAAATATATATAAATATTTATATTTTAAAGAATTAAAAAATGTATTTAATAACTAAATATATTCAAACAAAATGTGATAATTTTCTTACTACTTCAGATAAACGAAGCTAAACGTTAAAACATCTAATAATTTTTGTTATTACTTACTATTATATACAAATAACTTACAATATAAACAATTTAAACATTTTTTTCATACAAAACCTTATATTATAACTTATAATAGCAGTTACAGTATTTATAGGATAAATATTATATTATTAATTATATAAATTAGAGAGAATGTAAAACATTTATGTATTTATAAATAATATGTAGAGTTTAGATAACGCAGTATTACTTAGTTAACCTTACCATGTTTTGTAAAGTGTCATTAAGATTTGCTTGAAAAAGATAATTTAAAATAAAACACACTAACTAAGTGTATTTCTTTTTTTTAAATTAGTGACTAAGCCATAACTGTTAGCACACCAAACCATAAAAACTAATTTGAAAAATTTTCAACATTTGTCTATTTCATGAAAAAATTAAAATATGTCTTCAATTTATTAAAACATTTTACAAGTCTGTAAAAAAGTAAACATTGACATACTCTCAAACTTATTAATGGTTATGAAAATTAGAGCATTTAAGAAGTATGTTAATTAGCATTTAAGAAGTATATTAAGAAAATGCCATGTTTTTTTTTGTTATTTTGTTTTTAAAATTGTTTGTTAAATGAATATCTAAATATTGCTATAAAAATATTTATGCTTTTTTTATAAATTAAAACTGATATGTAAATAATTATTTTTTACAAATATACTAAAAAAGAACCAAATTAAGTTTCTGTTCATTTTAAATGCAAGTGTATACTCAATCTAAATGAATATGCGTTACTGCATATGTCATTTTAAAAGACTTTATCATGTTTTCAAGCATAACCTTTGCCGCAATCGTTGCACCATATGGAACCCATCTTTTACCCAGTTCAAATCCCAGCCATAACTCAGTTCTAATAATCTAGTTACATTCCAGCTGGGACGCAGTTGTTGTGGTTAACCGGGCAGCTTATCATTTTTATTATTAATTATTATTATTTACAAGTAATTCACAACATCAATTATTTAAATATTTTTTCATATAAAACCTTATACTACAAAATAAAGTTAAAGTTATAATATTTATAATATAACTCAAATTATAAATATTATCACTTTACAAAACATAATATTACTGTGTTTTATAAAGTGATAATATGACTATAAGTAAGGTTTTATCAAGTGACACTGCTATATATAAATTTTAGATAACATTTATAAATGCATAATATAAATGTAAGATTTAACAATTGCTATAAGTTATATAATTGATAATATATATTATTTATACTATGAGAAATATATTAACTATATTACTTATAAAATATGTAAAATGTTACATTTTAATCAAGGCCTTCTTAAACAGGCCGCGACAGCTCATTTTCCGTAAAATTAGCGAAAGCCGACTTTTTTACGGTTAAAATTATTTTTTATCTTTGCTTTTGTAAACAAACTTCAGAAACAAATAAAGAGCTTTATTAGGACAAAACATTTTGATTGAATTTCGAAAACAAATATTGTAAGAATTTTTTTTCACGTTTAGAAATAAGTTAATTACAATAAAAATTTAAGGAGTTTAGCTAAAAATGACTAAATCTCGTTTTTATAACTATATGTTTATTTTAGCTGTTTAACACTTGTAATACAAATAATAAATTTTTTGATAAAAACAAACAAATATGTTAACTTTATTTTATTAAAATTATTTTGACTTTTTTGACTCAAAGTATTTTATTTTGAAGTTGAAAGTTTTGCTTGTTTTATTAAACATTCCTTCCCAAAATCTTCAGAGTGTTTTTTACAATAATTGTTTAAAAAAATGTTTGCCGAAATGCAGCAAACTTTTTTAACACTTTGAACAAGCAATTGAAATTTACTATTGCAGTTAATAAAAATGTTAATTAATCCTTTCTTGCACAGCAATGGTGAAACTTTATTCACAAGTGTCACTCCAAATATAAAAAAACAATAAAAAACAAAGTAGACTAAATTGTCAGAAGGTTCTCTTAGTCTTCCCATATTCAAAGAACTGATCAAAGTTCCATATTTTTGAAACATATCAAAGCTGTCTGTTTCTTCTAAAATTGAATGTAATTCTGGAAGTTTGTAAGCAATAAAACCTGCAATATATAAAAGCCCTTGTTTGCATTCATTTGGCAACTAATCCTCACAATTTTCACATATTGACATAATAAACTCCACATAAAGTTCACACTTATCACAGTGGTGGTGAGCAGGAGGAAATATTGTAAAATCTGTATGCTTGTCTAGCAACTTTCTAGTTTTGTCGATTCTAAATTTTTGAATAACATTTTGCACAGTTATCAGATATGTGCTACCTGACCTTGCCGATATAACGCACAGTATCGTTATCATTTAGCAATCTATATTTTAAACATTGTAATTTTTCACCAATTATTTCGAATACATTTTAAAATATGCACAGTGTCATTTAAAAGATAGTATGCTGGAACTTTTTTTGCATTAAAATATTGAAATGTTTTTTGGTTTACTCGATAGTAATCCATTATTAACCAAGAGGCTTTCCACCTGCAATTATGATTTGTTGATTTAATTCTTCTATCACGCTTGTTTGAAAATTTGTTGTAACTTTACAAACTGGAAGAACTTTTATAACAAGTCGTGGGCCACCAAAAAGATAAAGGAGCATTAGTGCTAATGGTGTATTGTTTGTTTTATTTAATAAAGCTACTTGATGCCTAATATAACTTGCTCACTTAGAATCTGTTTCATTATTAATAACATAACTAACAGCATTTTCCAGTTGAGAATAATATTTAATAACTCCTTTGTTATAAAAAGACTTAAAGAGAATTATATTTAATAACTCCTTTGTTTAATTTGTAAAAGTTGGCTATATCCAGTGAAATAAATATCTCTAGAATCTTCTAAAGTTATATATATTGAAAACTTAGGTACAGGTCCACAATGTTCATATGATATTAAAGATATATTTTTTTCTTTTTCAACAAAATAAAATTTTTCTTCACAGTAATTTATTATTGACTTCAAATTTTTTACAATTGTATTAAATTGAATAACGTCCATTTTTTTGAAGTTTTCGAACTCATCAGGTAAAATATTTCTTTCAGAGCATATCAACCCAGTCATATCAACCCAGTGACATCTCGTTTTCTATACACTATTGGAATACAAGACACTGGTATACCTTTAAAGACTGATGGAGGATGCACTGGAACAAAACTACCACCTTTGACTTTTTTTAATTCTGCATCTTTAGGCCAGTGCTGAGCATAAATTCGCTTATAATCTGTAAACACAAAGTTTGCATTTGGAAGTTTTTTAATCCATAACTCGCGATCCCCGGATTTAAAGGGGAATCTATACATTGTGACATAAACATTATCTTTTACTTTTGATTTATAATTTGAGGAGCAACCATAAACGCAGGATTTATTAGGCATTTTACGAGTTTAACTATTATAGTTTAAATCAAACAACCAAAATCCTCATTGAAACTATACTTCTCCGTAAAAAAATCGGCCTTCGCTAATTTTACGGAAAATGACCTTTCGCGGCCTGTTTAAGAAGGCCTTGATTTTAATTTTTTTTTATAAGTATGCTCCGCAATTTCCGTAATTTTCCGTAATGTTCCGTAATTTTTTTCATAAGTATATTCCGTAAATCGTTTGTTGAGGACGATAGTTCATCAAATTATAATTTGTGTGAAAGGACAAACTCTAAACAAATTTTTGTTTCGCATAGAGTATTGTCCCATAAAAACGTTCTGAAAAAGGTTGCATTATTAACTTGTAATAAATCTATGGGTTATGATTCCATTCATTCAGCATTATTAAAAAAATTAGCCTCAACTATTTCAGCACCCTTTTTTATCTTGTTTATTAATTCGCTTATTTCCTCTACTTTGCCAAACGAATGGGTATTGTCAAAGGTTGTACTATTAATTAAAAAAGTAAACAAAATTGAACCTGGAAACTACCAACCTGTCTTTAACATCGATTTTGTGCAAGTTAATGAAAAGTTTGATTAAAGAAAGCCTTATATTTTACTTAAGTAGAAACAAACTAGTTAATACGAACCAGCATGGATCAAAACGTTGTACTATTAACTTATTGGAAACTTACTGGAAATATAAACTCTAAATCTAAGGATACCGGTAGATGATATTTACTTTAATTTTGCCAAAGCATTTGATAGGATTTCTCATACAGATATTATTGATAAATTAGGCAAATACAGGAAAGATAATAAAATAATAAAATAGATTCTTGCTTTTCTGACCAATAGAAAACTAAGAGTCTGACTAGGAGATTAGACATCAAATTAGATGCATGTAACTAGTGGAGTACCTCAAGGGTCGGTGCTGGGATCCATACTATTTGTTTTATACACTAATGATATGTTGGACAATATTACACGTCACTGCAAACTATTTACAGATGACACAATGATATTAGCTGCTGTTTCTAACGAAACAGACCTTTAATTTACAAAAAAGCTGTTAATAAAATATGGGAATGGGCTAAAACATGGTCTATGACTTTCAACGAAGAAAAATGTAATGTAATGCACTTTGGTCAAAATAACCAGAATTATAGCTACAAACTAAATAAACATAAAATGGAAAAAAATTAAAAGAAAATTTTTTTTGGGTGTTGTTCAGTAAACACCTTAAATGGAAAGAACATATTGTAACTGTAACTAATAAATCAAACCGCTTTATAGAATTAATAAGGAAAACGCTCAAAAGTAATAACAGAATCGTAATAAGACAATTGTATCTATCATTAGTAAGACCTCACTTGGAATATGTAGTACCTGTTTGGTGTCCGTACTTAAAAAGTGACATTAAAACTCTAGAAAGTATACAAAAAAGAGTGACATAAATTGTAAACGAGTTAAGAAACTACAGTTATGAAGACTGGCTAAAAGATTAGAAATAATGCTTTTAGAAACACAAAAAGCAAGAACTAATAAGCAGATCATAAAATCGTGTTTACCAAGATACACTTTTTTTTACCAACAATATTGTAACATTCAAAAAACACTAAAATACGAACCTTTTGTAGACGCTTTCAAAAACTTATAGCAAACGCTCTCAGTGCTTCTGAATTACTTCATCACTATTGTGATTGTTGTAAATGATGGCATTTGAATCTATAATAACAATAATAATAATAATAATAATAATAATAATAATAATAATAATAATAATAATAATCGGTATCTGTGTTTTTGCGACAATTTTTTTGTGGTTTTGCGACGCTGTACGGCTTTTTGCTAAATTTGTCTTTTCGCTACACCGCAAATGTGCTTTTGCAACTCGTTGTTCTTTTGCTACTTTCCGATCGCGAGCTTTTGCTACAAGATTGTATTTTTGCTACAAGTTTGTCTTTTTGCTACACGCGTGTCAATTCTACTTACAACATATTTCGGCACCATTTTTATTTCCTTAGCGGCTTTCAGATGTGAATGTAATTAAAACTTGTTGAAAGATAACATATATATATATATATATATATATATATATATATATATATATATATATATATATATATATATATATATATATATATATATATATATATATATATATATATATATATATATGTATATATATATATAAGTGTATATATGTATATATATATAAGTGCGCGCTTGCAAAGTTATAAGTGCATATACATTTTTTTGGAAACTATTTTTTTAGCTTTAATAATATTGCGCAAAATATTAAATTAAATTACAGCATAGCAATCAATAAGAGTTTTTTTGTTTTGTTTTTGTTTTTCTAAAAAGTGATTAGTTAGTGAAAATTCTTTACATTTTTACTTAATTTAGCATATTGTTATATATCAATAACTTTTCTAGATTAAATACTCTTAATTTTAAAAAAATAGCATACATTATTTAATCATAATATTTTAAAAAGGCATGCAAAAATATACATTATTAAAAAAAATAAATCATTTTAAATATTTAAATTAGATAAATTCTTCTCTTCTTATTGCCTTTTCCAACCATCTTCAACAGTCATATTGGGATTAGCATTTCTCGTGAGTTTGAAATTGGATTTTTAACATTGAAAAGAACTATTTGATTGGGTTCAATTCAGGGGAGTATGGTACTAAAAACTAGTGAGTAGTATTTTTTCCTCTTAGTAATTGAAGTACTGCAGCTGTTTTCTGAAATTTTGCATTATCTAGGATAAGAATTTTATTTGGATTTACTGCAAAGAATGTTACTAGTTTGTTGTTGATGAAATCAATAAATGATTGTGTATTGTATGCGCCGCTTTTGTATTGGTAACATTCAACTCCTAAATTGGAAATTAGGCACATGAGGCTAACATTTTGTCCTTTATTTGCAGGAACTGTCAAGTACGCTTTTGTATCTTTTGGAGTATAGCCATATGAGCGCACTGTATGTTTATTGAATCCGGTTTCGTCTAAAAAAACAAATTTGAATCAGCAACTCTAGCAACTTCTGCGGCAAAAATTGATCTCTGATTTATTCTTTCCATGGTGTTTCTTTCTTGAGGAATGATTGCCAATCTTTTTTGTGTCAAATTTAATTTCTTTAATTTACGGGAAACAAACGAGATTGAAACGTTTTTACCATGTTGTTCTAAAATTTGCGTTTGAATTTCTTTTTAAACTACGGCATTGTTACAAACCATGGAATTAAATATTGTCTGTTCAATGTTTGTATTTATAGAATTTTTGATTTTATACGTTTCTTTTTTTATTTTACTGTAGATGACGTGAAGGGTATATTATTATTACTATTTTTTATAACACGACTAACAGCATTTCGAGTTAAATTACAAGCGTTGGATATTTCCTTGATTGAATATTTTTCACAGTTTCTCATTGAAATAATCGTATTTTTAGTTTCTTCTGTAATTGTTTTCCGTACTTTTCTTTCCATTGATATTTAAAATATGAGTTAAAAAAAATTTTATAAATGCACTTATAACTTTGCAAACGTTCACTTATAACTTTGCAAAACCCTGTAATTAAATGCCTGACCAAACCTGAACCTGATGTATGTATACCTCACTGCGCTCACGCCTATTCAACTCTGTCAATGTATCTATGCTTGACAATGCCCATCTCTATTTAAAAAAGTATACTTCACTGCAACTACATCTAAATTAGTCCATTTATTTACCCATTGATTCTATTTACCCATTGATTCTAATCTACTTATTCTATAAAATGTTAAAAAATAAAAATTAATATTAAACATAACTAAATATAAATAACAATGTCAGCAAATTTCATGTTGATCATTTATCTTTACTTGCTTTAGAACTCAGAAATCAAAAATGAAACTCAATTCCATCAGTGAATACGAGACGCTAAGTAAAGGTGTGTACGAGTTATATGTAGCCAATAAATCAGAGGGAAAACCTTTCACAGTTAAGCACTTTGTAGCAAAAAAAATGTTGAGAAGTATTATCTACCGCATTATAAAATAAGCTAAAAATAAATATGGCCACCAAAGAGCAAAGGATAGTGGAAAAAAAACAATAATCATGAGCAAAACCAACGTAAAGCAACTAAGAGCTATATTTGACCATAATTGCACTGTTTCTAAATGCCAAGCAGCTCAACAATTTCAATTCAGTCATCAATATATCTCACTGATGCTCAAAAACAAGTCTTCTATCCATACAAGAAAGAAAATCAGAATCACAAAGCCAATGGAGGACCGAAAAGCAAAGGTTAGACTAAGATGTTGTTGGCTGTGTGAAAAGTTGCAATAAAAGTGTTGCATTTTTGGCAATGAAATGTACTTTGCTTTATCTCATTCACACATCAATGTCAATGGTTTATTTTACACCAGCGATGTTTCAGTAACTCCTGTGCATGTCAAGTATTATCCAAATACAAGAAGTAACTGCTTAATGTCAAGTAAAATCAAATACAAGAAGTAACTGCTTAACACTAAATGGGTATATCCCTCACTTAAAAAACAAACTTTCCATTATTACATCAACCTATCTACTAAATCAAAATGACAGTTTATTTTATTTTGACAATAATGATTGGTTATTTACTGATTGATTTTGTAATTATTTTATTTATTACGTAGATTTTTGTCCATTATTATTTCACTGTAAAGTCTTTTATTTTTAAATATTTGTATTTATCCCAGGGTTTTTTTATTGTAAAAAATAATATAGGGGAGAGTGGTGTACTTCGAGGGTATTTTTAAACTTTTACAAATATTAAAAAAAATACTTACAATATGTTTTGTAACAATATGTTTTCTTTATCTTTATGATATTATTTACTCGAGGTTTTTTTATTAAACATCCAGAAATATTTTTACACCCCTTTTTTTAATTTAGAAAAATAGCTTGCACTACAGCCAAGGTACACCACCGGTGATGTACCTTGGAGGTATGTATGTTGTACCTTGGAGGTATTATTGTTTTAACAGATTTAGAACTCAACATGGTAAAAATTTGATGTTTACTTATAGGATAATTGGATTTCACATCAGAGGTAATATAATCTAACTGGTTAGATTTATATAAATTATATATTAATTAATACTTGTGTTGAAATTATATATGATTATAAATTTAAACTAATTTATACTTAGAAGTATAAAAAACATACAAAAGAAATAAAGTTGATTAAGAAAAGAGTAATAAATATCTACATTAAAGTTTAGTAATAATAAGTATTTCACTTTGATTTAGCCTTTTTCTAATTTATATTCAGGTAATCAATGTTAATGCCCAATGATAGCTTTTACAGCTGCCATGTTGAACCTCCTTTAATAGAAGGATGTAGTAACTGAAAGACAATATCTGATTTGTCCAACTCATACACAGTTTAATTTTTTTTTTTTAATTCGAAAAAATTATTAAAAAGAAGATAACAATTAAAGAAATAAATGCATCATATTATACTCAAGAAATTCTAGATGAGCAAAAAAAATCATAAACTATAACAACATATTACAACTTTAATAAATACCTTCATTTCAAATATTACTGATAATAGTATTAACAAAATCATGCTTGGTTACCACCAAGATACACAACATTAGCTACCTTTAAGGAACACCGCTACCACAGTTTTTACTGAGTTAGCGATGTACCTTGGAGGTAGGTCGTTACCATGTGTTTATAGCTTAAAATCGTTACCATATGTTTATAGTTTAGGAATTCAGCAGTTTCAAACATACATAAACGGAGTTGAAAATATGCTTTACAATTTTTGATAATCAGTTTCAAAATAAAATTTATACCTACAGTTGTAGAAAGAAAAAAAACACGCTCTAAAAAATTACTTTTTGGTACAGAAAACAAACCTTTTTTTTTATTGCAACAAAAAATGTGTTAAGCTGTGGTAAAACAAGTTATTATGAGCCTTTAGTGGCCAATGCATGCAACTCAAATTTCAGTTTAAACTCATCACTCAAGATGCCAGCACAATTGACATGCCTCCAAGGTACATCACTTTTCCCTATATATATATATATATATATATATATATATATATATATATATATATATATATATATATATATATATATATATATATATATATATATATATATATATATATATATATATATATATATATATATATATATATATATATATATATATATATATATATATATATCTATATATATATATATCTATATATATATATATATATATATATATATATTATATATATATATATATATATATATATATATATATATATATATATATATATCTATATATATATCTATATATATATATATATATATATATATATATATATATATATATATATATATATATATATATATAATATATATATATATATATATATATATATATATATATATATATATATATATATATATATATATATATATGTATATATATATATATATATGTATATATATATATATATATATATATATATATATTATATATGTATATATATATATATATGTATATATATATATATATATTTATATATATATACACATATATAACCCGGTGCGAAAAGGGCTCGCGACTAGCTGGCTTTATAGTAATTTTCAAGCAATTTTTTTTTTCTATTTTATTTTTTTTTAATGTCTTTAACAGCTTTAAAAATTCGACTTTTAGTGTTGAGTCTATTACATTTATAAAGATA